ATTGAGGTATTTTAAATAACCACCCTCATTAGCTGGCATTAGTAAACTTTACAGTGGACATTCAAGATCTAATAATTGTTTTATACTTTAAATTTAATTTAGCTGATTTTTGGTTGTAATATGTTTTGCTTTACATCTTTAAGCCAGAGTTCGATCTTAAAGACTCCAATTGGGCTCATTATAAGTCTGTCTGTCAGGCTAAAAATCCCCCCAAAAGAACTCATCAAAAGAAGCACATGGTTTTTCTAACAATATGGCTTGAAATGATAGGTAATAATGTTCAGCATCCAGTATGGCTATTTGAGGTCCATATTAATCCTCTTCACAAACTGCTTCCATGCATTTTAAAGCAGCTCTGTTCCTACATACAGCTCAAACATTTCGCTGCAATCAATAATACATATAAATGGAGGAAGTAGTGTAAAAACAAGAAAAACACAACAGAGAGCACTCGGATCGGATGCCTCATGTGATGTCAACAAGAAAGCTTGTTTTGGCAAAGAGAGATTCTTTACTGATTAAAGATAAAATCACAAAAAAATAGGAGAACAACTAGAAATACTGTCAAGTACAACAGAGTATTATGGCCAGGCTAGAGATTTTTTTTTTCTATTTTGAGAATAAAGTTGTAACATTACAAAAAAATAAAGTCATAACATTACGAATAGAAAAGGACCTGTTGTTCTGAGGGTAAAAAAAACGGTGTCTAAAATGAGTCACACAAAATTTTGCAGAAACCACAGCTCAGAACGAAAAGACAGACAGGTCCTTCCATTCCCGTTAGTCTAACTACTATCTAACTAGATTAATAACTAGATTAATCTAGCTCCTTCTATCTGAAAGTAGGCTGTTAGTCAAAAAATCTTGTACAGAACTTTAGATATTCTCAGAAAAGTTAAATTAGGTTACCTTAAAATTGACAGCTGGTCTGATTTTCAGTGCAGGACTAAATATCTGACTAAAATATCAGCTCCACTGACCGTTAAAAAGCTTGGGCTCTTCAAAAGGAATACATGATGAATTCTAATGATATTATTGATCCCAGTTTTTATAAACATTTTAACATTTTTACTGAGGATAGCATGTTGAAAAACTATTCACACTAATTGGCACCTTTAGCCTAGCTTAAAATTCACCTTCTATTGCTGCAGCAAATCTAATTTAAGACATGAGAAAAATCCTTGACTTTATTTCCAGTCTGCTTAATTACTTCATATATATAAGTTTTATATATAAAATATATATATATATGTATTACAAAATCAATAAAATGAACAATATAAGCTGTTTCTGTAGTTACTTAGGTAACAATGGGTTACTTCTGTAAACCATTGGTCAACATTGGCCAGTTGGTCTGATACCTATTGTTGTTAACTATTGTTCTCCATTTTAGTAATGGCACTTGATCATTTTCTAACATTCTATGGTCCAATATATGTAATAAAAGCAGGTACGATTCATGCTAATATCATATCAGGTCCATATCAGATTCGGTCGATCATCAAAACTTCCATATCGGTATTGAATCGGAAATAAAAAGTTGTATCGAGACTTCTATCATTAAGACTGTGGAGTGTCTCATTAATAATTCAAGACTTTTCAGTTCTTTTGGGATTTAAGCATTAAATAATACAGAGATCCACTTTTGGGTCCTCCTGAAAATGGGAAATACAAGTAAACATGCCATCCAAGTAAGATAGATGTATGTTGATTTTTCACTGTCCAGAATGTGAGTGGGACTTAGCAGCTAACCACTTAACCATGGCCAGACATGCAGAGTAATAATCAAAAGGTGAAAAGCAACAACTGAAAATTAATTTAGAAAAAGGAATATAAATTTTAAGCAAATTATTTAACTGTTTTATATTTCAATTCCCTTTCAATTCTTCTGGAAAAAGTCTCTCTGGTTTTAACAGAAACTAAATGAAAAGTACAATTTAGCTTTGGTGAGATTTCTGGGTCTTTGAGGTAGGGAGATCTCTTTGCCATCACCCTAATCTTTAGTTTTCTCTACAGATTCTCAACAGCTTTGAGAAACATGAATAAAATAAAAATATAAGTTAAATGTTAATCTTCAAGCTGTGATTTTAAATTTTGTCTAAACTGTAGGTATACAGTGGAGTTAATCATTTGCAAACTGGCAGCAGCTGGTTGAAATAATGCTTCTGCACATTTTTGTTTTGTATCAGTTATTCTTTTTTAAAGAAAATAAAGTAAATCTAGTCCAGTCCAGTGTGATAGAAGATAAATTAATAAAAGACCTGTTTTGTGTATTATAAAAAAAAAAAAAGGGCACTGACAGCAAAGTTAAATTATGTTACTCTGTAAAATAAACACCTACATTTTAAGTAGTTATATTTCAAATGTGCTAGTCTTGTGATTTAAAGCACATTGTCCTTTTTTTTTTTTTACTGCATTAGATCATTTTCTGTGGTTTATATTTTATTGTTCAAGTTTGAAAAAAGGTTGGGTTTAATTGGGGGGTGCAAAACCTTTCTTGTAAGCCAAAGTGGGGCCCAGCAAGGTTTGGGAACCACTAGTGTAAGTGATCATTTCTTAGTGATGCAGGAAATTTCTTTTTTTCTCTCTCTCTGATCACTGCAGACATACACTGCAAAAATGATCTCTAAATAAATAATTAAGTGTATTTACCTTTAATTTGAGTAGGTAAATATGATGATTTGCCAATGAAATTAGTATCTTTTCTCTAAAATAAGATAAGTAGATTATATGAACTTGAAATAAGACAATGCAATTGTTCTGTAAAAGTTGAAAAAAAAATATCCATTGGACTTGGTTTCCTAGATTTGAAGACGTTTCGCCGCCTCTCCAGGAAGCTTTTTCAATTCAAATTTCTGGATCCGCAGTGAGTTTGAGTCTTATATAGACAAGGCCTTGTATTGCTTGGAAACATGCAAATGGTAACCGATGAATGGGTGGAATGGAAGCAAACGACCCACTCATCGGTTACCATTTGCATGTTTATATATATATATATATATATATAAATGACAAAATCAATAAAATGAATAATATAAGCTGTATCTGTAGTTACTTAGGTAACCAATGGGTTACTTCTGTAAACCATTGGTTAACATTGGCCAGTTGGTCTGATACCTATTGTTGTTGACTATTGTTCTCCATTTTAGTAATGGCACTTGATCATTTTCGAACATTCTATGGTCCAATACATGTAATAAAAGCAGGGCCTTGTATTGCTTGGAAACATGCAAATGGTAACCGATGAGTGGGTCGTTTGCTTCCATTCCACCCATTCATCGGTTACCATTTGCATGTTTCCAAGCAATACAAGGCCTTGTCTATATAAGACTCAAACTCACTGCGGATCCAGACATTTGAATTGAAAAAGCTTCCTAGAGAGGCGGCGAAACGTCTTCAAATCTTGGAAACCAAGTCCAGTGGATATTTTTTTTCAACTTTTACGGAAGAATTGCATTGTCTTATTTCAAGTTCATATTATCTACTTATCTTATTCTAAGAGAAAAGATACTAATTTCATTGGCAAATCATCATATTTACCTACTCAAATTAAGGGTGAATACACTTAATTTGATCTGGATGACTGAGAAACTTCATCAGCACAATGCAATTGTTTTTTCTCATTTTAAATGGAAATTGTCTTGTTCCATTGGCAAAGTGTCTCACTTTCGTCCTCAATTAGAGAAAATGCAGTTATTTTAAGTAAAAATTACTTAATTAGATTTCCATTTTTTGCAGTGTACTGACCAAAACATCAGCGAGAGAAGAGGAGACTTAGTATTTCTGACAGAGTCAGTGTTGCTTTCCCGGCTGCCTCTACTGGAATCCATCGAGAAAATGTGCTGACCTCCCAACAGGACAACGCCTGTGACATTATAAACCCACCAATGATTCAGGCACCAGTATCACTTTTCTGCCCCTTCGGCGCCGTACCTATGTTGGCCATCTCTGGCACCATGGCAACGTAAGGCTCACTGGGGAAGACAGGCGGGTTGTCATTGATGTCCTGTACTCTGATGATGAACTCCGAGGAGGGCTCCAGGGCACGGCCGGTCTCCCGGTCTGTGGCCGTCGCTATGAGACGATATTCGTCTTTCTCCTCTCTGTCCAGAGACTTGGTAACGTGGATGTTCCCTGTGTTGCCGTCAATAACAAACACAGAGCCGACTCCCTCCCCCTCCAGCATGTATTTGGTGCGCCCGTCCCCTCTGTCCATATCTGTGTGCAGCTGGAAAATTAAACAAAAAACAGACAACAATCCCAACAACACCTTCAGGCAAGATCCATCAGGGGTTGCTGATGCAGGTATCACTCATTAACACCCACTTATTTATTTGGCATGCAAAAGCAATTCCAGACTGTGTGAATGGGTAAATCGTGTCTAGATGAGATGCCCTCTGTGAATCTGAGAGGAATGGCACCAGGTGTGGAACATACATATGGGACCAGAGTGAGTACTGACGCATGCAGCTAATTAACTCACTGGACCAAACATGCCACTGGGGGGTTCGTTGAGAGGAAAATCAACACTGATGCGGACAGAGGCCCAGCAAATGTCATGTATGTATAATCACAGACACATCCTGCAAATGCAGGCAGTATCCATCCGTAAAATCTTTCAGTCCTTTCTACCCATCTGTCTCTTTCTTGTCCTGCTTCTCCAACCATCTGCCCAGCGCTGCCTCCACCCTATAAAGCACCTTTTCCCCCTCTTGTTTCCTCTCCTCTTTTCATCAAGTAACCTCGCTTACAAGATTGCCCATCTGTTCACATTTCTCAGGCCCCCTGCCCTTCATCTAACTCTGTTTATTTTCTCCCCTTCCCTTTTTTATTTCTCTCTTCTGTGCAAAATCTGAGTTTAGTGTTTAACGGCAGAGAGGATATTAGTGAGATATATAGATAGGTAAAAGGCCAAACACACAGAACTAGAAGAAATAGAGATTACTCAGCCTTCATCAAATCTAGCCTTCTGACCAGAGACTCTCACATCTCTCTGTCCTCAAGGCATATCTGCACATGTTCATAATCCACAAGGCTTAGTCACAACCTCGGCTGCAGACCCCAGATACTCGAAAGAACTAAAGCCTTGACTTCAAAATGCAGATGCAGAGCAGTTTCTCTTGAAATCTGAGTGCCAATTTTGCATATTTATTTCAAGCCTTTTTATTTGCTACCATGAAATGTGCCGATGCACAAAGAAGTAGACCTATCTTTCAGGGTACAATTAGTCAGTTTAAATTACAGCATCCTTCCTCGGTCTATCCAGACTATCTCAAGGGGTTTGGCAAAAGGTGTGAATGCTTTTTATGAGGCAACACAAAACCAAACAATACATGCAGTCTCATACAGCAAAGGAAAATGCATTTTTTAGAGTAGCCAGTTAGCCTAACATGCCTGTTTTTGGAGGAAGCTGAAATGCCAGATGAGAACCTATGCTTGCATTGGAAGAAAATGAAAAGACTGAGACTCAAACCCACAAGACAACAGTGCAAACAACTTCTCCACACTGTGGTCTAGGATGAATACATAGAATAGGAAAAAAAAAATACTCATTCCCCTTTTCCAGCTTTGTTATTGTCACCTTTTATTGAGATTAAGGGTAGTTTAAAAACCCAGAGTGGATTATTCCTCTCTAGTTTGAAGGGAAAATCATACATACCAGAAAAGCAAAGCATGCATGTAGGGCATGCATTTATTTAGATGAATCAATATTTTGTAGAGCAACCTTTTGCTGCAATTACACCTGCCTTTGCTTTGAAAATAGCTCAACCTGATCAGATGACAAAGTTCCTGCAGAGATCAGTACTTCCTTTCCATAATTTAGCCAGTTCTTTAAAGTGATAATAGCTATTCAGTTAATCATTTTAAAGTTTTTTTTATTTATTCTATGGAACATTTAATTATAGTTTTCAATTTAATGGCATGCTGAATATCTTAATCATGTCTAAGATAAATAAATAAATGTTTAATTTGTTCATTCCTCTGGAAACTCGCCTTCATATTTTTTTTGCTGGCCATACAGTGATTGTAGAAGCAATCTCATGACCCCACAATTGTTGCCTCACATCCCCCTACGAGTCCCAAATCCCACTTTGGAAACCCGTGCTCCGTGCTTTAGGCTTAACTATAATTTACTCTGTAGCCTCACAAAACATCTAGAATTATACTGACAATAAATCACACACAGGCGGAAGGGACTTCTGAATACAATGTGCTGCTTTGGATTTCTACAGAGGTATAAAGGTTATAAGACCTGGATAAAAATGTCAATTCCAATTTTTGCATTTGTATTTGTCAGAAATTGGGTAAACATTGCATCATCCCCTTTCCATTTCCCATTTATGCATTGGGTTTTGTGTGAGTCTACCACGTATAATCCCAAAAAACCACATTCAAGTTTGTCTTTGTAAGGCAACAATACATGAAAAAAAATCAAAGGGTCTGAATACTTTTTGACAAGTTATGCTCACATGAGATAAAGCATGCATAGTTGAGAGAGAAAACCAACATACGGATTATGTGAGGGTGGGGATTATATACTCTCGTAATGTTATATACACAACAACCAGCAAGATAAATGCTAGTTTCTTTATTCTTCCCTGCACCCACATCCTCTCCATCCTTTCTTCCTTAAAACTAGCTTTGATCCCACTCTTCACCACCAGAGACATCTTTGTTGAAGTCTGTGCCTCCCTTGCCTCCCCCCCTCCATTGCCTTCTACTTCCAAACCAGACCTCCTCTCTCCTCACTGTCTAATTGCTGGTTCAGTCCTGCTGCGCCTCAGCCAGCATGGAAAAACACTCTCACAGTGGGGAAGAAATGTATCCATCCCAGTCCAAATAAAGCAAGAAAAGGAGGGTACCATCTCCTTCTCTTAACCCCCTTTCTCCTTACTGTTGCTCCACACACACCTCCGGGTTTATTTCCGCTTCTTTAGGCAAACTTGATTCTTCTAACTGAGGTTGAGGCACCTGCGATTTGAGCTGCTAGTATCTCTCTTCACCTCATTTCATCTCTCTATTTCTGGAAAACAAAGTGAGCTGCTTTAGCGAGGTAAACCTTGCGCTTCCAATTCTTCCACACAGCAGCAGCATTTTATTACATGAATATTAAAATAAAGACAAAAGGCATGAGCGCCCCTTGTTACCGCTGATCGCTTTAACACCCCTCCCTGCTTGTATCAATAACAACTGGAGAGGGAAATTAAACATTTATGAGGCGTATACAGCTCTGGTAAGGATCCAATCTTGACTGTCACTATATGGTTTACTACGAGCTACAAAGTGGCTGGCAGCTTTCCCTGTTAGTCTTACAGCTGATGGAAGCCTGCTCCAGGTATTCTGAGGCTGCCAATAGCTGCATTAGAGAAGAGTTCCTCACTGTGAAATAATACAATCAAACCTGTGGGACTGGATGGTTCAGGTGTGCTCTGAGCTAAATCATCTGATAGCCGATGAAGGCTGCTGTTGTCGGCCATTGTCAGATTTGAAGGGTGTGATGTATTGAGCGGGGGTACAGCTCTTCTGATACAAGGGGTCTATTTTAGCTGCATTCCAGGAAAATAAAATGAGCAGAAAATACAAACAGCTATTTATTTTTCCTTTTTGATTTAATGCATCAGGCATTTTTACCACTGATTAGGATGGAGAAAATTCCAGAGGATAAACTTTTCAAAATAACCAGAGGCAAAGATTTGCTCCACTGCCAGTTTAAACTCCTTTTTATTTTCATGTGGCTAACGAACTGAACTAGAAAATGTGGCTTTCAGAATGGTGCTATGATTCTACTCCAATGTATGCTGGAGGTGAGAGGGATTACTTCTGGTGCTGCGATGAGGAAACCAGCACAGGATAGCATTTAGCCAATCTGATTTTTTTAAGAGAATTGTTTTGGAAGAGGGAGTTTATCCATCGGTTTCGGCTGCTTTGTAGTAGCAAAACATATAAATGCATGTTAATTTTAGTGTGCGTTGAAGTACAGAAGAGGATTACGGCCACTGAAAAAATAAAAAGTTAACAGATTTTTTAATTTTAATTCAGTATAATATGAGAAAAAATCTGAATTTTGACTTTTTTCTCAGAATTCTGACTTTAATCTTGCAATTGTGACTGAATTCTGACAGCTAACAAACATGTTTGCATCAAGCCATAGCCATGTCTGTTTTAGAGACTAAACTAGCTCTCTTTTTAAATCACCTTCTGCTCTTCCAGTAATAAAATGGCATCACTGGGGGCTCCCCAGGCACCTTAAAAGTCGCCTAATTCTCTTCCTTCATGGTGCCAATCTAAATTAAGATTCAAATGTCTGAGATTAAAGTCAGAATTTTGAGATTAAAGTCTGACTTTTTTCCAATATTAAATTTAAATAATATTTAAAAATCAGTTAACATTTTTTTTCAGTGGCCCTAATCCTTTTCTGTATGGAAGCAAAGCTTCTTCCTCCCTCTTTTCATTTCTTTTTCCCATCACAGTAGCTAAGTTTAACTAGACATAACTAATCTCAATGACGGATCAGACTAAAAATGTGTCGTGTAAACATGCCAATCAGAATATTCTGAATTGATTTGGTGGGATTGGAATAAAATTGTGATCCGACTGAGAGGTGCTCCATTTCGATTTACACTCTGATCTGCATACATATTCTTGTCAGGATCAAGTTATTCTGTCTATTCTTATTCTGTTTCTGCTCTGGCTAGATGCTATCAGAATGTTCTGAATTCTAGTCTATGTACTGCTTTATTTTGATAGATTATGTGCATATTGATCACAATCTATGTATCTATTTATTTTTTATCCAAATACATTTATATTAAAACTTTTTTGCATTTAGATAAAGTCAATGTTTCCGTCACTTATAGCGAGCAGAGTTTTGATTCATGATTTAACCTTACTTAGGGTCTATCCACCTTCCAGTAAACAGAAAGGCTTTTCTGTCCATAGTGAAGAAAAGCATGCCTGAGGCATAATGCAGCCACCTCTGTATCTTCCCCGCCGGGAGAAACACAGGTGTCTTCATGATGTGTTCAGGGTGTTGAAGCTTATGTAGTGCTTTTCAAATACATACCCAACAACATCTGCAAGGCTTCATGTGATTTTCTTTCAATGCTGGCTAATTTAGATTAGAATAAATTTAATCAAATTCCACTCAAGAGGACTCTAATTAACAATTAGCTTTCTTCAGAGGGGAATTTGCTGCTTTTATTATATTCAGGGGAGTAGTAAATGGAT